TGTGTGTGTGTGTGTGTGTGTGTGTGTGTGTGTGTGTGTGTGTGTGTGTGGACCACAGGTCATTAGCAGAGATCAAGCTTCCCTAATGAGAACTGGGTCCTCCAGGGGCGCCCAGGCGTCACACGCTGCACTTCCCACGCCAGGCCTCTCCCGGCCCTGCCGGTGTCACGCTGCCCCCTGCTGGATAAACCTCCTCCCTGACGCTGCTTTAAAAAAAATAAAAGAACAACGCCGCTCACAACAACTGTTCGTTCACTAAAGGTTTTTCTTTCTGTTAATGTCTGACTTCCTGTTTTCCTGCAGAGGCAGCGTCTCTAAAGAAGACCTGCCGTCCATTTTCCCTGAAATGAGTCCCGACTTCACTAAAGAGAACTTCTCTGCAACCTGGTACCTGATCGAGAACCACGCAGGCACCAGGTAAGGCCTAACACACACACACACACACACACACACACTGGCAATACTTCTAATAAGGCGAGGTTCTTTAAAGTCTCTTAAAAAGACTGATGTCATCAGACATGACTCTTCAGTTCTCGTTGCCTTCTTCAGATAATTGAGCAGAAATTAATTTAAAATAATAAAATAAGCTGGAGGGATTAGATTTCCTGTGAAACTGTCTGAATGCTTCTTGSTGAAAGCTGCTMAAATYAAGCTGAAACATTTAATCACAATAATGTTAACGTGAGCTGGATTTGAAAAGCTGAAAGAAGCAAAACACAAAACTTAAACTTTGCAGAAAAACAAAAAAAATGTTTAAAATATAGCTGAAATAGCTGATTATAGCAGAAAACAACTGTAAGAAGCATGAATAGCTAAAATTAGCAGAAAGGAGAACAAAAAAGTAGAAAAAAGGCAGGAGAATAACAGAAAAAAAGCCAAATTTTAGCTGAAAAGGCAGAACGAAGCTAAAATTGGAGAAAAAGTAGTTAAAATTAGCACGATACTTAAAATGATCACACCCAGAATAAAACGTGTCAAATTCTGTAAAGATTTAGAAACATTTTGAAGCACCATTCCTTTTCAGTGGGGAAAAAAGTAGCCAAAATAGCTTTGGCTACTTTCTTGGATTGTTTTTTTTCAGCTCCAGTATGTGACAGAGCTTGTTGTCAGCTAACAWTACATCAGTTTTTAGATCAATGTATCAAACATTGGGCCTCATGCAAGAACATGTTTGTATTCTTATCCTAAATTTCTCTTACTTTTGTTCGTACAAAGGGTTCGTACGAACATGTCACGTCAGATTCAACAAACTCTTCTATCTTCAGGAAAAGTGTGTAAATTCGTTACAGATGATGCATTTTTGACGAGTACGAGCAGGAAACGAATACAATTTGTCAATATCCGTGCTCATTCTGAAAGAAGATCCTCGTTGGGTAACTGACTGTCTTCACAAGCTGTGATTGGCCAGTCACACACAGAGAGCCCGCCCCTCCTCTCACAAACTCTCTCTGCAGCGGAGCGGGAGCCTGATCAGCTGAGTGAAGCTGACACACACACACACACACACACACACACACACACACA